CGTCAATAAAATAAGGTGTAGTTTCCTTGGTTTTGCTATGTGCACTTTATGAAGACTCACACTGTATAACAATGCGATATTATGACATGGAGCTGATCTGATGATGGGAAGGTGGCAGGTGTCCATGGGAACCGCGTAATAAATCGACGTCTTTTTGATGTGCTTCCAACAATATTTCATATAGGAAATACGTAAAATACATATTTTAAAGCTGGTTGTGCTCTATGAGCAAACCGTAGATGGAGATCCAGCCACAAGAGTTGAATGCTCCGTTTTAAATGATTGACGTAAAATGAAGAGCAAAAGCGCCGGGAGAGTCGCGCCTGCCTGTGGGAATTTTTCACACGCTGGGTAGCGGTAGCATAGCGATCGAACTATTTTTAGCATCCGCGGCGATAGGATCATTCGATTGACGCGTGGCGCTAAATTTACGCTACGGCTTGCGGTAATGGTGCACCGCAAAGCTGCTGTGCGCAAATATCGAATGTATTTTTTTGATGTTTTGCTACTACTCGCATAGTAACGTGACCTAGCTCAAACATCTTGCCATGCTGGTGTCATCTCGTGCGCCTACGCTCAGAAGGAGATGCGTTTATAATCGCCAAATTTTTCGGATTTAAATATTCTTGGAATATGGGCTTTGTAGTCGAAAGACGTTTGTACGTTGAGAAACAAATTGTACGAGAGAGACACATAAATATGTTAGAAATATACAGAAGCCGGCTGGGAAGCGAAGCTCATCACCGCGTCGCCTAGCAACGCTGACGCGGCAATGTGCTGCGTTGCCACTATGTTACATTAGTTCCTTGAATTAAGATGCATGTTGAAATATGCGTTAGTTTATTCTCTACGCCCAAATAATGGTTCTATTTTGAGCGTACCCATTTTTGAATTGTGTCGCATCTGTTTAGGGTCGATTCCGGATTGATCCGAACGGCGCTCCATTTTAGGTCGAAATGAACGGTCAGGATCGCCACATTGCATCATTGGTTCGTTTGGCAACACCGCATCTCGCACATTCCAAGGCAAGGTTTCCACCTCCATGGTCATAGATGAGCGATTTTGGTCATTATCCATCTAGCGCTCATTGGAGAGTATCCTCCTGCTTAGAAATGGTTGCTTATACACAGTCAGTGATAATGTGTTTTTGCGTAATGGTATTTGTCGCTAAATGTAACAACTCAGGATGTATTAATTTTATCACAATCGGTGGCAATCACAGATAATTCTAAATAAATTAAAGCACTAAGACGCAAACAAAAATTGAAATAAATAATTCTAATCAAAATGAAAACAAATATTGACTTAAATGGTTTGAACAGACCTCCTTCTTGGGATTGACAGTAATCTAACCTATTGTAGCAACCTGTGCGAACATTTTTTGGTGTAACATATTGGCAACGCGGCAGATTACACGACCTTCTGCGTCACCGATGCTATCCAATGTGGTGATAACCTTCGCTCTTTCAGCCGGCTTCTCTCTCTTTCTAACATGTGTTGATACGCACTTCTCGCGCTTTTCTCTCATACACATTGAACTCAAGCCGTCAGACAAATTTAGTGTTTCAGTGTATATCGACATAAAGCATTTCAGTCAATCTTCAGCTTCAGGAACCGGTCGGTACGGCCATTTATTTTGTCCTATTCCTGCAGTAACAAAAAAATCCGTTTGTAATCAATAAATCCACCCCTTAACTTCTTGATGATCAGAGGGTTAACAGTAGAACTGGATCAATTCACTCATTTTAGTGATTCGATTCGAATCGTTCACGATCTCTGATTCCTTTTAATTATGATTTCTTGGATTCCGAATTCCGCAATTCAAAAATATACTATCGATGATAATGAGGACTGCAAAGGATCGACATCGTAGTAGAAATGTATGCCGATAGTTTCGGTTCCTGAACCCTACTGTTGATTCTTAATTGTTCAAAATGCACTGTCTTGTTAGGATTCGGATATTAACGGGTGATTTTTAAGAGGTATAGGATTTGATTTTAAAAAAAAAACACAAAAAATTTAAAAAACGATTAAATCTTTATTTGAGTCGATATAATTTATGTTTAAAGATTATTTCATGTAAATGTTGGCCGCGGCTCCGCTTTAGATGGCCCATGCGCAAGGTCCAATTTTGGCACACTCTCTCCAACATATCGGCCGGTATCTCACGAATAAATGCTTCAATATTGGCTTCCAGTGCGTCAATCGTTGCTGGTTTATCCCTGTAGACATTAGCCTTAACACAAGAAATAGTCCAACGGCGTTAAATCACACGATCTAGGCGGCCAATTGACGGGCCCCAAACGTGAGATAAACTGTTCACCGAACTCGCCTCTCAATAGGGCCATTGTTTCGTGTGCGGTGTGGCATGTGGCACCGTCTTGTTGAAACCACATGTCAGCCAAGTCCAGCTCTTCCATTTTGGGCAAAAAAAAGTTTGTTATCATCGCACGGTAGCGCTCGCCATTCACAGTTACGTTCCGGCCATTGTCGTCTTTGAAGAAGTACGGCCCATGATGCCACCGGCCCATAATCCACACCAAACAGTGATTTTTTCGGGATGCATTGGTAGCTCTTGCAATGCTTCTGGCTGGTTTCACTCCAGATGCGGCAATTTTGCTTGTTAACGTACCCATTCAACCAGAAATGAGCTTCGTCGCTGAACACAATTTTTCGATAAAAATGTGGATCTTCCTCCAACTTTGCCAGCGCCCATTCACCAAATTGGAAACGTTGTGGGAGGTCGTGTGGCTTCAATTCTTGCACCAGCTGTATCTTATAAGGTTTTACACCCAAATCCTGTCGCAAAATTTTCCACGTAGTGGAGTAACAGAGGCCCAATTGTGCGAACGGCCGAATCGACATTTCACGGT